TATCAATATGGTGATAGGCGCTTTATATATATATATATAATTATATTTATACACCTAGGGGTGTTCCACAGAACCCATAACCCAATGAGGGCTGGTGGCACCTGAACATACTCACAGAGGTTCCCATCAGCTAAAACGTGATAGCATTACACAGAGCTTGAAGTAAGGAGCAAGCCAGGGACTAAGCGGCCCTTGTCCTGTTTTGTTGCTGTGTTATCTGTTCAATAATCAACTCCTTCTCAGAAAATGAGAATGGTATTGACCTCTGGGATGGTGCTGAAGTGAGGAAATTCAGAGAAAGGAAAACAGGACAAGAAAGTGAAATCTGCAGAGGGTTCTCTTCAAACGTATGCAGCATACATCAATATGGAATTTACCTTTGCTTCATCATTTAAAAGCAAAAAAATCAGTACATGTCATATGCTACCAGCTGCTTTACAGAAATAAATTTCTACACCGTGTACACAGCCTTTTCAATGTCAGCTGATCATAAAGGTCAGAAAAGTAGTCACTGGTAAAAAACCAGAATGTTTCAAAAATGTAAAAAGCAAAATAGAACCCCACCCCTGCCTACAAGCCCAAGAAAGTCAACCCAAAACTAAAATAACAGCAAGCAAGAGAAAAATCTTAATTTGCAGTGATTTGCAGGTAGAAACTTTTTTTCTTTAGTCCATATTCAGATCCCTGTTGTTACAGTCTTCAGATACCACAACTGGATTCAAGAAACTGCTTGAGTAATTCAGTAAAGTCTACTAGACTGAAGCCAAAAATTACCTGCAATTGCTCCTCCCTCTGAAGGGGGAGCCATATCTCATGTCCAGGGACGTCATCTACTCATCCCTCTCTGAACAGCAACTGCGAGACAGCACAAAGGATTCAAACATGAATCCAGGCACGAGGAACAGTAGCTTGAAGCACTCCATCTCAAAAACTGCCAAGTTCTCTATTTTCTTTTATTTCTTCTTTTTCACATTCACTGTCAAGCCACTTCTTGGTTGAAAATCCTTGGCTCCTGTGCCTTTTATGTGAAAAGTAGGCAGATTCAAATGATCATTTTAAGTAACAGACTGAAGAAACAAAACACCTGCACTTCATACTGACTTGAACACCTCTATTTTGTGCTGCAGTTTCAGCAGAGGAAGAGGGGAAAAAAACCACAGCAACAAAATGATAGATGTGGAATGTCACTTCATTTTATTTCTATTCCTTAAATTATTATTAATTTTTTTAAAGTGCCTTTTTTTTTTTCCTGTAACAGAGGCTTTAAAAGGAAAAAAGGTTTCTTCAGCACTTCAGAAATCATTCTGGCCTAGTGAAGTCAAAAAACTTTTCTTCTGTAACATCAGTCGCAACATGTCCCTGAGGTCACAGCCTTCCACATATTTCTCAATTTGATTATTTAATTTAATTTTTATTTAGCTTACATGGAGAATTATTTTTCAAAATAAACCAAATACATTTGCTGATGGTGGAAAGCACATTTTTCACTTATGTATAAATAAAACTAGTAAAGTTTTGAAGTCTTTATGAGCAATATTCAAGCAGCTGTATATGTTAGTGCAAACTGAATTTTACGGTGTTTACAAAATTCATCTTTAATCAGTGCAGGAACTTAGAAGGATAAATATTGTTACCTCATATAACCAACAAGTATAGGAAAAATTGCTAAATCTTTCATATATATTAATTTTTGTGGGTTTTTTCCTACCCTTTTCCTTCATCACTTGCTATAGCTGCAAAACAGAAGTCCATGACTTACAGAAGGGTAGTTTTAGGTTAAAAAAAAATAAAAGGTGGAAAGAAAGAAAGAAAATAAGTAATTTAAGGCAAGAACGTTTTGGGGCATCTACCAAGAAAGAAAAGAGGAGATATGACACTTGAAAATGCCTCAGGTTCCTAGGGAGAAACGAAACACAGATTTTTACAATAAGCTACTCTGAGGATATGTACTGAAATCATAGCAATGGTAAGACTCGTTATGTCACTAATTAAAACAACTCAAAGTTCTCCACGTATTCCCATGGTGCTGCTACCAGAATAACTGAAGTTTCAACAAGGATTTAAATAACAGCAAGCACTGGAAAGTATGAAGCAAATAAAAAAAAAAAGCAAAATACCATCCATCACTCTCTTGAAGCAGCAACACCATTTGCACAGATGTCGTCAAGGAGATAGCTAAATTGTTTTTAATAAAACCCCCACAACTAGAAGTTATACATAGCTGACTTTTTACTTTCATCAAATAATACTAGAAAAATCATACGGAATGTTATCAGTGCACAATACCCTTTTCATATATTTCAGATAACATGTGAACAGTGGTGACTGGCAAGTAATATGAGATGAAACACTAAATAACAGAGGAGGGTGCTACAACTGTCAGTACAGCTCTGAGAGTAACCTCTCATTAGCTAAGCAGTGCAGATAAATGGAGACTAAAATACCAACAAATAAACAGTTTTTGTCATCATTGAAACATCACTGATGTCTCCAGAAATGGTAGACAATGTATTAATCCACATCCATGAACTACTGATAGTTGCTTCAGCACACCTCTAACACACATTCAAAAGAATTAAGAAACAAATTTATTCTTAAAATGAAGGTAGAAAAATGCACAGGAAATATTAACACATTATTTGACAAAGCTGCTCAGTAGAAGTTACTACTAAACACAAAAACACCAGTTCAAGTTTCAGTAAAGCTGACATTCAGTCTCAGTTTCAGCTTGAATGGCCCCGTATTATTTTAAAATTGTCCATTTTAGGCCTTCTAATAGACGAAGTTAGCATATTCCCAATTCTGTTACCTGGGAAAGACCAGCAATCAGCAGGTGTTGGATGGCGACCCGGAGGTGCCTAATCATGCTATGCAGCAAGTTTCGTAGACAAAGTATGCTTAACAAAATCATATAAGGAAGCATCCTGTTAATTAAGCTACTGTCAAAGCAGACAAATGGCTGGAGACCACAGCATAAGAAATTAAGGCTAACGAGCTATACTGCAAATTCTCCTTCTGATTAAATAATAAAATTTCACCTCTGATTAAATAATAAGAATCAATTTCTGTCTTTTAATAAACACCATTTCAAATGTGAGCTACAACCAGGATTTGTGTATTTCATGTCATTTTTTTTCCTCGCCTCCAGAAAGGTGAAAAATCAATAAAAAACCCCCCGGCCAGTACAATACAGCAACACTTGAACTTCTCACAAGTGTTCTAGTGGTACCAGTAAGAGTAACATTCATCTAGAGTTAATAACCCTGCGGCAGAAATATTTAATTAATAACCCTGCAGCAGAAATATTTCTATGTGCTTGCCTCCACATGAAAATAGTGTGCCCTCACAAAAGAACCTGTTACTACTGTACAACTCTGGCAGTTGTAAGCATCAGCCCAAGTTGATTCACTTTGCTTCTCCTGTAAGATACATCTACACAATCCAAATGTGCGGCTATTGATTTTTTAACTTAACATTTCCATGGCCACAGTATTTTTGTTTGTTCACGTTCATTATGAGAATAGCTATTAAAGCTAGTCCAACTGCTAGACTCGGAGGGCCACAAGGACTAAACTCCTGAGAAATTCCTGAGAGGAGCGGGGCAAGTATACGTCCCACTGATGTCACGGACTGTCCAACACCTAGGAGCGTACCGCTGGCCTCGGCCCCACCAATGGTCAATTCAAGATCGATGATGCAAGTACGACCTATCGTAGTCGAAAAGGCTAAGAATGTGGAAGATAAAATGACCATCCATATGCTCAGCGCGGACGTGTACAGAAAAATCAACGTGCAGGTAAAAGTGCTGGAATGCAACAGAAGTCTGTAAGTGTTGTGCTGATAGAGTCTTGTTATTGGTCCGAGCAGACAACCAGCCAGAACTCCAAGTGCGCTGCTATAGCTCATGAGGTATCCAGCAAACAAGGGTTTCACCCCAAATCTCTCCTCCAAGGCCAGACTAAAATTACTATAATACAGCAGAATAGCAACAGACATGAGGAACCGCACTAAAAATATATCCCACAGATCAGAGCACGCAATTCCTTTAATCCTCTTCAGCACTGTTGCAAATTGGAACCACGGAGACAGGAGAAGACTGTCGCTTGCCACGGCTCTGCTAGTTTCTGATTTCAAGTCTCGTTCACAATTTGCTTTTGCTGAGAAATTGTCTGTTCCCTTGCTGTCTTGCTGATGTTCCCTATTGCCAGTGTTTTCTTCACTCCAAGGTAACATCCAGACAAGACCTATATGGATAAAGAAATAAGTGAATTTCATTCAACTGCATTAACTTCACATGGAAGACACTAGTCTGGTTATAACTGTTTCCTTAGTGTAAAGATCAAAATTCTTAAAAAGATAAAATCTAGTATTATTCACAGTATTGGTTCAATTCTAAACACAGTAAAAGCGATGAAGAACGATGCCAATGTGACACATTCGCAATACATTAAAGGCTAAAGCCAAAATTCTGATTTCTAGTTTTCATATTAAAAATTCGTGTTCCTGTGTCTGAATGCAGAAGTGGGATATACAATATGAATGTAGAAGTGATATATACAGTAAAAAGGAGAAGCATCTGGAGGTTAACTACCTCAGAATTCCCACCTTTCAACACAGGTTCAAATTCAAAAGGTAGTACCAGTATGCAGAATGTGTATGCCATAGATGATAAACACACAGCGAATTCAAGCTATTACAGATGGCATAAAAACCACAAAAGCGAGGGATGAAGGGCCCTGAGATGCAAAATGTGACATATAACTTACCAGCATTCAGAAGGAAGATGGAGGCACAGATGAAGGACGTTTGATAAAAGCCACCTTCTAACTCCGTAAGGTAGCCACCAACAACAGGCCCCAGGATGAAGCCCACACTAGAGGCTGCGTTGAAGCGTCCCATCACTAAAGGGCGATCTCTTTCAGAAACCAAGTCAGAAAGCAAGGCTTTAGAGATGGAGAGTGTGTGTTTGAAAATACCTGCAACATAATGTAAACAAAATAATTAACATGTATTGCTCAGTCCAAAAGATTAAAAATGACAGAAGCTATCTAACCAATGGCCAAAATCTGTATGATTGATATTTTCAGGATTCCATTAACCACAATTTTTTCAACACTAGCGTCATGCAGCTTGTTGGGCCATGACCATCATCATGGCTGTTCAAGGATTTGGACTTAGAAAGTAAAATTATTCAGGCATCTGGGTCGAAGGAGTGCTCCTGCAGCCCTGCTGAAGGAAGAAGTAACTAAGCCAAGTGCTGAAGCACACTAGGAATAAAATAGCCGCTAAAATAGGAACTTGTGGGTGCGTCATGGTGGAGTAGGAACGGACTTGTCTGTTTAGGAACATAGCTCTGTACTTGCTGAGTATGAAGATTTCTAGGATTGTAACACATCAAATTCATATGGGAAACTCGTGGGTGGCAAAAGATGAGCACAGAAGTGTAAGCATTCTGCAGGAATAGTGATAATGCAATACTTTATGATACTTCCCTCTGACCTGGGCAATGCTGTCACAGTCACAGTGTAGTTACAGAGTATTTCATTAGCAAATTGTCTTTAAATTAAGAAACAATATTAACAGTTCCTAAACCAAAACTACAGGTTATAAAAGTGCCCTTTAGTAGATGCATTCATTGTAGCAGCAATGCTTATTATAGAATATATGAACAGGCGTTCAGCTATTTTAAGAACTCTGATATGAAGCCTAGCATAATCTTAGCTTCTGTGCTGCGCATGCTTTTGCGTAATGTAAATATCGTGTTGAAGCAGTGATCTAAAAACTCAATCAAACTTTGTAATATCATTTTGAGGTATATTTTCAGCATTAAAAAAAATAATTCCAAACCAATAAAGCACATATCATTGCATTCTCCATTGTCAGTGCAGGCTAAGATTTCCAGCAGTGACCTGGTATACTGTGTACCTGTTATTACTAATCTTACAATAGACTCTTTAAAGGAATTGCTGCACTCCTGTTCTAATAAATTTCAGCCATTCAAAGTAGCACAAAAATTATGACAGTTATTGAGTACATATTTCAAATTCTTTTCAGAAAAAAAAGTCACAAGAATGTTTGACTTGTAGAGGTTTTCCTATTACAGCTGGTGCTGCTGGGTGATGATGCAACGTAGCCGTCCACAAGCTGAGACACAGGGAATTTAAACTGCAAAATGCCAACTGCTTACTCACCTACGGGGACTCTAGAAATGGCAAAGAGTAACACGGTGGTGGATGTTCCAAGAAGGAAGTAACCCAGTGCACTGAGAAGAATACAAGCAAGCAGGGAATATCGTCTTCCTACCACATCACTCCAGCAGCCCTTTCACAAAGCAGGAAATTAGAATTAGCTTTTAATAACATTTAACTATGTACAATCAGTACTTCTAAATTAAACTGGGAAAAGAGATCAAAGGACTGACAAAGAAAGCTTATTAAGTTTATTACACATCATTCCTAAGCGCTCAAAATCTGGAAGTCACGAGCAGAGTTCTGCCCTGCTGGCTGGGCACCTGCTGAAATTCTGATTTCATTTCACATCATGCATAGAGCTTTCTTTTTTTAAAAAAAAATAACAATCAAACAATTTCTCTTTTTTAAAAATAAATTTCTGCAACAACCATGATGATATATTAGTAGTAAGTGCCATCTGAATATGGTATCACAACCAAGCACAAATATTTGTTTGCATCAATGGTCGCTATGTACCAGACACTAGTTGAGCATCAAAAAGGAATGATCTTAGCTACGAGGAGTTTGTCATCTGAGTGCAGACAAGAAGGAAGTAGTTATGAGAACTAAACAGTAAACTTGCACATAGCACATTTATAAATCAATTTGATTCCAAACAGAAAGTAGGTTTTTAAGGCAAGCAATGGTCTTGCTGTTCAAAGAAAATGCCACAGAATTATAAAAGCAAATTATCCCCGGTGGCCTGCGTAACAAAACCTGAAAGACGTTTTTTCATGAGATGCTCAAAATCTGTTCTCTTGAAAGCCAGGAGGTACAAGGGTAAATTAAAGCTGCCTCTGGCTAAATATATGGAGGTAAGGTATTGACAGGTAAAACATCACTCAAGAGGTTTACTCTTCACACTCTTGCTTGGATCAGGATGTAAAAAAAACCCCAAAAGCTAATAGGAAACAAAACCAAACAAAGCTCAAAGACACAATGCATGAATTTAGGCCATATGGCAAATTACACTGCACTGCTCACGAAGCAGGGAAAGCAAACCCTAGGCAGCGGCTCTATGAAGTGCTGACTTGCAAGACTGGTTTTTGGGCTGCTGCTCTGGCCGAAACTGCTTCACGAGCACCAACTCCGAAGAGAACCCGATGTGCTCAGTAACGCATTTGAGCCCAAACCTGGATTCCAGTTTCTTCTACAGACCGTGCTCTGTTTAGTTTCGAAAAATCTGGCAGTTCCCTACAAACAAAACAAAGTTTCCACGCAACCCAAAAACTGGATCCTCCAACCAAAACCGCTTATAGGAACACTATAAACACATTCAAGGTGTCACAGAACACTATCATTAACCTCGTCCTTCTTCCGCCTAAAATCCGTAGAAATGCCAATGTACTCAGGAGTGCAGCGTCAGAACTCACCACATATGTGCTGGAAAATAGTTGCATTATGCCATAGAGAGATCCTAAAACAAACGAGTAAAGCACTAATGTTAAAATTAAACTTTCTTTTTTAAAAAAATGACAATTGCACAAAGTTTTAAATGAGGAAACATGAGGGAAGTTCTGGGAATAATTTACTACAAGAACAGTAAGAGGGAGCAGGACAAATCAAGGGTGAAGTTTAACGTACAACCAAGGAAACAAAATGTAGAAAAATGTTGTTTTATACGTTTTATTAAGCTAAACAGACCCTGGCATTTGCAACTGCTTTCTCAGAATTCAGAGAGGATTTCATTATTGGGAGGCACTAATTACTTTCCACTTAGCACTTCAACCTATTATAAGGCAGCATAGAAGCCCTGAAGAAGTCACAGACTCTGGTGAAGGCTAAGAGTTTAGCAGCAGTTAGTGACAGAAGAAGCAAGGAGAAGCAGAGAGAAACATCTGCCAGCCTCTTTCATTTACAGTAATACACCCCAAAATCCAGTTGCTTTTAAAGTTAAAAATCAAAGCAAGCTGTTGAAATAAAAACGTATTCTTGATAAAATTGCTGCTTAAAATACTACTCTAGTTCCTTATGACAGCATTAGTTCATGAGAAGTGCTAAATTTCACCCAAAAGTTCATAAAAAAACACGAGTAATAGAACCCATGTTAACCACAGAAAGCTATAAATAACATCATACTTGCATCATTACAAACTGTAAACAGTGCCATAAAATATAAGCATGAACTTTAGAACCACAGAATTTATCTTACACTTCATTTTTTACGATAAAATTCCAAACCTTCAGAATTTACTTGTAAACACTCCTTAGAAATGACAAACGCTTTGCCAAAAGACAGCTGTAAGGACTTTAATCAAACTGGGAAAAATTATAGGCATTGGAAAGCTCAGGAGAACCCGCTGCAGAATTATTGTCTGCAAAATCTGTAAGTAACAATAATACCAAAAGCAACATCTCTGGCTCCCAGAGCTGCTGAGCTGTGAATTCTTGGATGCCCGCAAAGCATCTGGGTAAGTATTACTCCAAGACTTTCTCGTTCTTTCCAAAAATGCTCTTTCCCAAGCAGCTTCTTTTGCCTACGATCAGTACACAAGGTTGGACAGGTCTCTGGGTCTAACACAGTACAGCTGCCCTTTACATTTACACTTGGAGACTGGCATTATTTTTCTTACGCTACCAAAAAGGAAGAATTATGTTACAATGTCCAATTTGCAGTAAGGCACATCCCAGTTCACATTATCTTATTCTTTGTTAAATCAGTCAAGTACTACAACTCACCTATTATTCCAGCAACCGTATGACTTGCTCCTAGAGACTTGATGTGAAGGTTCATCAAAGGAACAACCATGCTCACACCAAATAAATCCTGAAAAGAAGGCAGGAAAATTTTGAGTAACTGATTACTTCTACAAAGATCGTGACGACCTGGCTCAGTAACTGTCAGTATTTTTAAAATTGTTAAATTATTTCCATGTCAATTCACAATTGAAAGAAATTTTTTCATGGCCAATGTGGTGTGTTGTAACCTCTACAAGGCACACTGTACATGTAAAATTACAGAAATACAAAACCTGAAAGAATCACAGAATCATAGAATTGTCAGGGTTGGAAGAGACCTTAAAGATCATCTGGTTCCAACCCCTCTCCCATGGGCAGGGACATCCCCCACTAGAACATGTTGCTCAGAGCCCCATCCAGCCTGGCGTTGAACACTTCCAGGGATGGGGCTTCCACCACCTCTCTGGGCAACCTGTGCCAGTGTCTCACCATCCTCATGGGGAAGAGCTTCTTCCTAACGTCCAATCTGAACTGATCCATCTCTAGCTTCAGTCCATTCCCTCTAGTCCTATCACTACCCAACACCCTAAAAAGCCCCTCACCAGCTTTCTTGTAGCCCCCTTGAGATGCTGGAAGGGCACAATAATGTCTCCACAGAGCCTTCTTTTCTGCAGACTGAACAGACCCGACTCTTTCAGTCTGTCTTCATAGGAGAGGTGCTCCAGTCCTCTGAGCATCCTTGTGGCCCTTCTCTGGACACGCTCCAGCACGTCCATATCTTTCTTGTGCTGTGGGCTCCAGAACTGGATGCAGTACTCAGGTGGGGTCTCACGAGAGTGGAGCAGAGGGGGAGAATCCCGTCCCTCAACCTGCTGGCCACACACCTCTTGATGCAGCCCAGGACATGATCGGCTTTCTGGGCTCCAAGTGCACACTGACAGCTCATGTTGAGCTTCTTGTCCACCAAGTCCACCCCCAAGTCCTTTCCTTCAGGGCTGCTTTCAAGCCAATCACTGCCCAGCCTGTATCGGTGCTTGGGATTGCCCCGACCCAGATGGAGGACCTTGCAAAAGGTCCTTGCAAACGACAAAGCATTGCCTCACAGAGGAGTTAAAACTATGAAAACAGCAATTATCTTTCCCCTCACAGATATAATTCTGAAAATATATATTTAAATATTAAATATTCCTTTAATATATATGAAATTTTATCTGTTTAACAAAACAAGTACTTGGTACTAGTGTTCTAAATTCTACATAGTCTGCAATTTCAATCACCTAAAATACTTTTTACTTGTGCAAAGAGAGTACATTTGGAAAATCCAGAGTATTTTACTCTGTATAACTTAAGAAACGAGGAGAAAACATAAAAACATGAAGAAAAAAAAAAGAACAAAAAAATCAAAGCATAAGTGAAAAAAATTTTCCTAAGAGGAAGGCAGAGGACACTTCCCATCCTGAAAGGATCTCCTCCTTGTTCTTCTTGACTTTTTGTCTTTTGTTAAGCTAACTGCAGTGATCCAGTAGTTCTTTCACTGTATGCTCCTGGCACAGCAGAGCATCCTATATGAGAACAGAACTTCACAGAAGAGATCTATGGAAGCCAGATCACCTTCTAGCAGTGACTGCAGGAGCTCAACTAGACTAGCTATTCATAGCTAGTCAGAATAAATGCAGCAATGTGTAATGCTAAGTAAATTCTCACAGTCTGTCATTTGGTATCTTTGGATGGTTGAAATTGAGACTGACAAGGTTAGAATCACTATTAAATACATTAGCATGAGCAGAAAGACTTACGAACATTAGTAACACAATCTTAGGGCTCAATAAACTATTCCAGGCACTCGCATGCACAGTAATAGAGTAACAAAATAATCTATGTGGAAGGGACCTTAGGAGTTTCCTGCTGGCAGCAGGGCCAGCTCCTGAGGTCAGACCTAGTAGCTCAAGGCTTTATTCAGTCACGTTTTGAAAACTTTCAAGGACCTCTGGCAGTGAGGTCCTCAGAGTGAAAAGGGTTTTCCTTAAACTGAACCAAGAGGTTCCAATTGCAAATAAGACCTTCTCTCTCTCTCTCCCTGTGCAACACACTGAGGAGCCTGGCTCCAGCTCCTCGTTCGACCTCCTTGCAGGCAATGCAAAGAGAGCTGCAGGGATCCCTTCAGCCTCTTCTCATGGGGTGTTCCACCCTGTCAGCCGTCCTGCTGGGAACTCACTCCGATTTGGACACTGCATTTTAGACGCAACCTCACGAGTGTTGAGTGAAGGAGGACTCTTTGCTTCCCTGTTCACACTGCCCAGGACGCTGCCAGCTAATGTTCAGCTCGCTGCCCAGCAGCGCCTCACCAGCAGAGCCGCTCCCCAGGCTGTATATTTGGAAGGGCTTCCTCCTTTCTTCGTGCAGGACCTGGCAGTAGTCCTTGCCGAATTTCATAAAGCTCCTGTCATCCATCCTGCCTGTCTAGGTCCTCGTAAACTGCACCCTCTACTTAGGTGTCACCTGAAGAGAAGTTCAGTGAGGTCACCAAGGTCAACAACATTAAAAAGGCATTAAAAAGGATGAGTCTCAGAATATACTCTGGCAGTACTGGACTTGTTACAGGCCCACAGACAGAGCAAGACCCATTAACATCTACCCTCTGAAGGGTAGTTATTTCTCATTTCACTTATAATTTCTAATGTCAAATGGCAACTGCACTGTATTTGCTTGGTTACAGGAAGCTTGCATCACAGGCAACAGTCCTTTTATCACAATATTTCACCACACTCTACACCCTCTAAAAGGACACTCCTTGGATGTTTCCAGCACGTGTTCCACGCTCTGGATCAGCAAGATATAACAGAGTTGGAGAAGAGATAGTATTGAAAAGTGAGCAGAGAAACAAACCTTGTTCTAACACATCTTTTCCTAGAATATTTGCTTCAGGACCCAAACCAATCAGATAGTATCTATTGCCCAGACTAAAGGCAGGTAACAGAACATATCTACATTTCACTGTGCAGATCTGTATTCATTTCTATTCCCTTTCCAAATTTTAAATTAATTAACTGAATGATGTTTTCCCAAGTCTCATGAATCGCTACACAATACAAACCTTCTATAAAGCCTATACACTACCCTCAGTAAGGGTTTGTTTGTTGGTTTGGGGGTTTTTTTTTAGAAAAAGACCAGGTGTTTTTTCCAAGCGGGACTGCTTGCAAGTTTGTGGTTTGGGTTTTTTTTTAAGATTGCACTATACACTGTTATTTCAAGGAACAGCTCTCCAATAAGCGCAGGTCAAGACTCAGCTTTAAGGGCACAGTGTTTTTCCACCACACGGGCTGGTCGCACTGATAAAACGCGGGCACTATAAAGCGGTGTTCCTACAAATGCCCGAACTCCAAAAAAACCCCAACGAAATAATGATAATGTCAATAATAATGTCAATGTCAATAATAATGTCAATAATGTTAATAATGTTAATGATGATGATAATAATAATTATAATATAAAACAAT